GCTCTCGCTGGATCCGCTCCTCTGCTATCAACGAGAGGAACGTCTGTACTTCCTCAACAGACAACGAAACAAAAAGGTTAAAAGGTTAAAAAAGGTGGGCTCGTTCAAAACAGTTGCGTTCGATCCTTCGCTGGCTGTGCTGATTTAAATCTAGCGGTTCTGTTGTGTTTGTGTCACAAGTTCAGTGACGCAGGTAGTGACAATTCTCTCCGGCCAATCCGTGATCAGCAGAGTTTACACGTCACGTTTTGGTAACGGTACGGTTCACTTGGAACCTCAACCGAGGTGGTACTAAAAAAAGTACCAGGTACCAGGTACTGTACCCAGTGGAAAACCCCCCAAGAGTGAACCGTACCGAGCCGTACCACGCAGTGGAAAAGCGCCATTTATTGCATCAAAATTTGTTAATACTTTACTATATTTAAGGATGGATAATTTTATCAGTTGTTTATTGCAACAATACATAACTACAATAACTTTGTCTAGTGCTCTTATTAAAGTTTATAGCATGATTTGTGAAAATGTAACTATACTGAAGTATCCTGTCAGCAAAAACCTGTCCATGGGCTTTTTTGATTGCTTTCAGTTTAAGTGCCGGTGCAGTGTTGCCAGATATTGATACTAAAACAAACAAAAAACTAAAAAGAAAAAAGAAATAAAAAGAAATTATTTCCAATCTTTTGCAAATATGGTAAGATAACGATATTGCTGACTCTAAACTGCAACTTCCTACTTTATTAACTTTCTACAGTGTTAAATTAAGAGGAAAAGACAAGTCAAAAAATGCTTATAATAGCTGGATCAGGCTGCGCCTGCGCCCTCACTCACAACTCTCTCAAGCCTCGTTCACTCCGCCAGCGTATCGCAGCGAATCCAGTGATTATTTTCATACAGGGACACTAAACATTCTTGCAAACTGTCTAAACTGAATTATACATGTCATGCAGGCATTCATATGAGGAGTTTAACAGCAAATTAGTAATTCAAAGAACCAATTTTATTTTTGAACATGAAAAATTTACCGAGGTCCGGACCTCGGTGGCCTCATAGCTGGTTACGGGCTTGTAGGTACTTCCATAGTAGGAAAAAAAAAATACTATGATAGTTAATGTCTGTACAAAGTGGCCTGTTTACAAACTTTCTTCAAAATTTCTTTGTGTTCAGCAGTACAAAAATGTATACAGGCTTGGAACAACCTGTGGGTAACAACCTTTTCTGTAAATTACAAAATGTTCTTTTTGGGTGAACTAACACTTTAGTTTATTTCATGGAGCTCTTACCTAATGAGGTGAAGATCTGAATCAGGTTTGTTGAATAAGGGAGACATACAACATGCAGAGCGGTGGGTCCACAGGACAGGGATTGAAAATAACTGGCATAATGTGTCTAAATGTTCCTTTTGGACTCTAACTGATTGCACGTGTTCACTTGCATTATATTGACCTACAGCTCTCGGATATCCATGTACAACTTTGTTTGTGTTCTAATGAAGTCAGTCAGTCACATAGCTTGATTTGACTGAGGGTGTATCAGCAAATTTTATTTAATTTTATTTTTTTAAGTTTGTGGAGTGGGGGGTGAGGATTTTTAATGGCGTTTTCCTTTCACTGTAATACACAAAGCATGATATCAACTGGTTTTGTTTGGCACATATTGGGTTAAGATGTGTTATATGTGTTATTATGCATTTATCATTTCACATTGTAATTAGTGGGGGTTTTTTTCCCTTGTTTATTTAATCTAATTTGTTTGTGCTTTTTTTCAGTGCTGCACCAGTATTGAAGGCCATCTCAGCAGGAGGGAGGGCCACCAGCCATTCCTACTGAGATCAGGAAGGATTAAGGGCAGGATCAACCACTTTTACGTCGTTGTGGACAAGCGCCTCATCCCTTGCGTTGGAACCAGCTCCTTGAGTGCCTTTGAACTTTTTAAAGTTCACTGTCTTCAACCTGTTCTACGAGGAAGCCCTGGTGTCAAAAGCCAACAGCTTGTTCTACAGGCCTTTTGAGCTGCAGTGTTTATATGGGTCAGATGATGGTGAATATAGTGTACCTTTTGTGTTGGTGTAATAGTTACATCTGTGTTAAAAATAAAATTTAAAACTGATACAGCGTTGACTTTTTTTTCTTTTTTTTTACACTGAATGCACAGGTATTTTTAGTCGAATACAGATTACACTTAATTACCGGGTTTGTATTTTGTATGAACACTATATTAGTGTGGAAATAAGTCTCTTGGTGTTAAGATATTGACACACGTAGTGTAGTTTCAATTAACTCTATGCAAGTGCAAAAAAAAGTAACACTATTTAAAGTGTTAGTTTAACTCTATTTAGTGTGGACCTATATAAACCCCTAAAAAGTGTTAATTTTCTCACTGTGAGTGTTAATTTAACACTTTCAAATTTGCTGTGCTAGTTATAGCTATTTTTATGTTTGGCCTATTATAGCACCACACAGTGGCCAAACTCCACGATTATTGTCATGTGACCTCAGATTGAGGTCTTACATACGCACATCGAGTTTGGTGTAAATATCTCATTCTGTTAAAAAGTTATAGCTATTTTAGTAAAAGTGGCCCCACCTGTTTCGAACGTTTTGGCATCCCTTTGCGACAGTGAGTCAAACTCAACTTTTTTTTTTTTTTTTTGGTTAATTATCAATATTTACTCTCCAGAGATTTTTTCTGCACTGATTGGGTGAAAACCCTAGTTTGAAAAAGTAGGTTTTTCAACAAATTTAAAATAGCCGAAATCCACAAATCCACATGTGTTTTGTTTTCATCTTGAGCGAAGGCCATTCCCATGATATGAGACACTTAAGTCTGCAACAAGTGGTTTAGGAGTTATGAGCAATTTCATACTTTTGGTCACTGTAGTGCCCCCATCAGGCTGATCTGGGCGAGCCTTGGTGACGTAGATGGGGTAGGTACTACCATCCCTCCAAGTTTCAGGTCTCGACGCCTTACAGTTTGGTATGCCCGATCAATTTTAGGTCAGAATAGTGATCTTTGAAAATCTTAACTATTACAATAGGGTTTCAGCACTACACGTTTGAACCTCTTAATTATTAAATGTTTCTTAAATGTTTAAGAAAAAATACTTTACAACTGTAAAGAAAATGTTTCACTCTGAAACATGAAGCACACACACATATACACACACATACATACACATTAGGGGTGTAACGGTACATATATTAGTATCGAAAATTTTTGGTACGGGTCTTTCGGTTTGGTACACATGTGTACTGAACAAATACAGCGTTGTTTTTAAGCACTGCACGAATGGATCTTCATTGAAAACTTCCAGTTTCATATATTGTTACTTTTGATAAGAAATAAAGTCTCATCTTTCAAATTATGTCTTTTTTTTTCAGAAAATTCAAACAATAAATGCTGTTTTGATTTGTCGTGACATCGCTGTATGAAACTTCAAACCAGTGTGGTGCCTTTGTTCAAACGGCAGCGCGATCATCTCTTCCTCTTTACTACTAGTTTTAACGCGAAATAAACATGAATGAACATCTCATGCCTCATATAATCGCTCAATCAGTGTTTAGACCGCGGAAAGACGGCAATAAAACAGCTTCTAAACAAAATGTCACGTAGCATTTCATTTACCTCAGGCAGGTCATCAGTGTCCACAGCTCATTAGTGTGCTATTAATGAAGTCTAGAGAGGAGCATTTTGCAAAATATTAGACTATATAATCATTACATTTGATTTCACCTGTTAGTGATGTCTTAATGTTTAAATAATGTTGTTATGAAACAAGTTTCAGCCACTGTGTAAATGATCATATTTCAACAACAAATTAATTTTTTATAATCTAGCAGTTAATTTAAAAACTGCATTATTTGCAATTTACATGTTTTGCACAAATTTTTTTTAAGTTGAGTGTTGATTATTATATTTAAAAATAAATAGTAATTATATTTAAGTTTGGGCTCTGTTGTTAATTGTAACCTTACAGTAATGTAAAAGGGCTCCCTATAGTTTAGAGCAGAATCTAAGGTAGATTTTTATCCCTAAGCAAATTTTTATTATAATTAAATTTATTTAAAGAAAGAGCAAGTTGTTCAGTAAACAACTGTTTAATATTAAAAAATGCAATTTTATATTTAGTCTTCCCCCTGCTGTACCTGAAACCGCACCGAACCGTGATGTCAAAACCGAGGTATGTTTGTCATCATGTTTGACCATCAAAAAACCATCATGTTTGTGCACCGTTACACCTCTAATATATATATATATATAATTTTTTTTTTATAAATCACGGCCTCGATTAATTCGATTAATTGTGCAGCCCTAGTAGCATATTTAATTTGTTTGTAAATTGAAAGCACTGTTTACTTCATCACTTTGATAAAAGAGTGTGTATGCACTGCGGTGTGTGGACTGTGTGCACATAATAACACAGTTTAACTTTTTTAAAACTTCCCATTATGTGTGTGGCAAAGTTTATATATCAGGTCCCTCATAATCTGGATGGTGTAAATGTTTTTCTGTGTGTGTGTGTGTGTGTGTGTGTGTGTTACATATACTGTATAAACAAAATTATGAAGCATGACAGATTAGAGATATTTATCTGTTTTACATGCTATTGCAAGCTATCAATGGCTTTCAAAAAGTGGTGAGGACTGAATCAACTTCAAAGTCAAAGTCAAAAGATCACACCAGCAAGTTTTGACGATATTATGGTCTCGGTTGATATGGCTCGGGTGCCTTCTTCAATTGAAGTCTATAGGATTTTTCCGTCCAACAAGTTCAAACATAAAAGAGTAATAGCACATCTTTTCTATCATGTGTGTTACATATATTCTGATATCAGGAACAACACAATGCTATTGGAGTCTGGTTTCACCATATTAGAAGACACATCCTACATTACTGGAGCCTTTGAAATTGAGATAAAGCATTGCAGGAATTCTACTGGCTGAGTGGGACAATTTTGTTTTAAAGAAACAAGCTGTAAGGAAGGGTGAGTCAACCTAGAGAAGGATGCCACTCATGTATTTGTGCACATTCATGTATGGTTTTCCCTATATTTCTGTTTTTTATTTGCAGTGTTTTGAAAGGTTTTTATTCTAATATTTATATTTTATTCTATTTCAATTTCAAAAGGTTATTTAATTCTATTTCAATTAACAAATTAAATTCAATTTATTTTTATTTTAATAGCTAAAAAACACTGAAGGGAACGAAGTTGGAGAAAATTGTCTGGAGTAAAATGTGTAATGTGGTCAGTAATGCTCACTGTGTGTTTATCTGTCACATTTGTATTATAGCTTTTTGTGCTTCAGCACCCATGTCACCCAACACCTGGAAACAGATTCTCCAGATCAGCCAGACACAGGCTGCTCATTCAAGAGGGTGTCTAATGTCAAAGGCTAGGTTTGTGTGTGTGTGTGTTCTCTCACAAGTTGCGGTGTGTCCTGCAGCAGTGGTAGGAGCGTGGCCTCCAGGATGGCAGTCTGCTCTGAGCTGAGCCCCTGCCACAGAGACAACAGTAGGATGAGGAGGTGAGTGGCGCTCCGCAAACGTGTAAAAGCTTGGATCAAACGCTCCCGGTTGTCTTCTGCTGCATCTGCTAATGCTATAACCTGACACAGAGACAGACAGAGAGAGAGAGTTTCAAGTTAAGGGTACAACTAAATGAATTGATGTCCTGACTTTACAGGCTTCATGATTAACGTCTTATATTACATTTTTTTCTATGTAAAATAAACAAAAATTATATTTAGCAAAAAAAATTAAGCTTATTTTTAGGACTTTTAAGATGCATTGCAATATTATTTTGATGACAATTAGAGTACGCACATTATGCTCCACCTCGTATCTTTAATAAAGAAGAGTTTGCAAGAGTTTCTTTGAAATCACCTTTATTGTCAGAGGTAATTCCCATGAGATTATCATTACTGTAGCAGTATTTAGCACTACTTAGAAGTCACGAAAATGAGAATGCGCAATCATCCTAAAACATAATGTCATAATGCAAAGACTTCACTGTCTTTTGGAGTTTGGAGATTTTGGAGTTAAATATATCCTGGATATAGTCTGTAAAATTCACCCTAAGACGTCTCTTGTCATAAGCAATCTGAAAAATTAAGCAGGTCTTGGTGTGGGGTAGAGTGAACCATTAGTGTTTCGCTTAATGATTTTTTTCCTTTCTTCCTTTTTTTAATACAGTTCAATGAAAAGTGGGATATGAGAGGCTGTTGAAAGAGAGAAATGAGTAAAGATAAACAGAACAAGGCAAAAGGGGAAAAAACATAAGAAACAGTGCTCCACAACATCAAAAGACAGCAAAAAAGTCCAAGCATAGTACTTACTGACTAACGTTTGCTAAAAATTAGCCCATCATTCAGGCCTGATAAAGTTATGCTCTTGGAGAGCAGACCTCACCTGCACAGTCAATCATATTTTGCCTGAAACCACAAAGCACAGAGCACAAAAAACACACTGAAACAGTGTCTGAGAGAGACAACTGCTATTAAAGATCAGTGTGTATTGATAAAAAGGTCTGAACAGCCAATCTAAATAGACCTTCAGTGAAGGAGCTTTTGTGAGTGAGAGTACAAGAGTTGATTGATGCCAGCTGGGCAAAAACAAAATCACAAAGAACTACTAAATGAAGAAGAGAAAGTCCTAGGTAAACACCCTTGAGAAAAGATGGCAGTTCTTGAACTTTCTCAGTGAAGAACAGTATATTCAAATGCTGAATTTTAGTTCAGGAAGAGAATAATACAAACTTTTTTCTTTATCTATTTAAGTGCCTTATTCAAAGTAGAAAATAAAATAAAAAAAATGTAGAAACAGGAAGTGGGTTTTCATTATGTACAATGTTAAGTATCACTTAAGATGAGTTAGATTAGAAACCAAACCACTATCTTGAAGAGCTCAAATTTGCTGTTGGTTAAAAAAGAACAGACATGAAACAGCTGGCAGAACCGTTAGACCCATCAGTGTGGTCACCACTTACCCATGGGCACATTCTACAAAAATTATATACTCTAAAATTACCCCAAACCATTTTGAAATGTAACATTTTAAGCCCAAAACAAACCCCAGCCAATGCAAAAGACAGGCAAGAAAATGCTTTATTCCCCGAGGGATGTAGCCAAATACGAAGAGACAGAAATATCTGTGCAGTCAGGATAAACAGATTTTAAAAAAATAAATTTTTATAGTTGTTTGTGGGATGTCATTAGTCAGTGGTCTTGTTCATACCCTCAGGAGAAAGAGAACTGTCGAAATACAGCACTTTACTGCTGAAGCTCTCATCATCAGACTTGAGTACCAAAATAACATGAAACTCTTGAAAAAGCATCAGCAACACGGTCTGGAGCCATAGAGCCCATCTGCCTGATAGTGGTGAAGAGCAGGGGCATCATGCACATTTGAGGGGCCACAAGTGGAAGCCCCTTTGGTCTCCTGGGCACTCTTTTTAAAAACAACACAGTGACTTTTCAGTTGGGTGTAAATCAACTGAAGCTACCAAATTTAGATTTAAGATTACTGCCACTAAAATGAAAAACTACAATTATGCATAATTAATTTTCAAAGAAAGTATTTATTTATTTTTTCTAAAATCTCAGAGGGCATGTGCCCCTCTGTTTGAATGGACGTGGCACTTTTGGTGAAGAGCATAAGTTTCCATGGGTGAATCTCACAAAATCTTAAGAACGTTACAGTCAAATTTTGCATGTGATCAATATTTACATTATTAATAAAACATAAATATTATAATGTTGATTTGACCACAAAAATATCTTAAAAGAAAAGTCTGGCCACAATGAAATACTAGTGAAATATTATTGCAATTTTAAATAACTGTGTTTTCTAATTTTATATATTTTAAAATGTATTTTATTTCTGTGATGTAAAGCTGAATTTTCAGCAGCCATTACTCCAATCTTCAGTGTCACATGCTCCTTCAGAAATCATTCTAATATACTGATTTGCTTCTCAAGAAACATTTTTTCGTAATATCAGTGTTGAAAACGGTTGAACCATGAAGCAATTTTTTCACGATTCTTTGAAGAACAGAAAAAACTATTGGAAATAGAAATCTTTTATAACAATGCACTGTAAATGTCTTTACTATTATTTTAGATACATTTTAAACATCCTTGCTGAATAAAACTATTAATTTCTTTAAAAAATAAACACATCTTGAACAGTAGTGTACAAATACAGTATATGGAAGACCTGCCATATCTACAATTTTCACTATGAAGACACTATGTATTAAAACACATTTATAGCAAAAATACAAACGTAGCACACTGATGTAACTGCTCCATAAAAATAATTTATTGCGGCAACGTTTCGACCATCAGGTCTTCGTCAGGCACAAATTACGTGAAATGGTCCAACTCTTTATAAGTAACAGGTGATCATTCTAATTAGACACATTCAATCACTTTGCAGGTACACTCCCACAAGAAAACAGAGAGAGAGAGAAAGAGAGAGAGAGAGAGAGAGAGAGAGAGAGAGAGAGAGAGAGAGAGAGAGAGAGAGAGAGAGAGAGAGAGAGAGAGAGAGAGAGAGAGAGAGAGAGAGAGAGAGAGAGAGAGAGAGAGAGAGAGAGAGAGAGAGAGAGAGAGAGAAAACCCGCAGTAAACTCGAATAAATACACAAATCAATACAGGTCAAATACAAATCTTAAACTCGAAAAAACTAACAAATCAATTCAGATCAATAATCACTCAAAATATTCAAACAATACTGAAGACAGATGAAAAAATACACACAATCCTATAGAAAAGGCTTAATATCAAAATCTTCATTCAACCCAAAAGGTGACAACGTATTTAGAGTATAAATCCAAAAACATTCCCTTTGTAAAAGTTTCCTCTCAAAATCCCCCCCCAATGGTTTTTGTACCTTCTCTATACCGATATACTGTAAGGCACTAACATTCTGTCCCACTTTGTTAAGATGAGATGCTATAGGACTGCGTTCAACTCCCGTCCTAATATTACTCCGATGTTCAGTAATGCGGGTGCGTAATGATCTAGAAGTTTTACCAACGTAAGCGAGACCACACAGACAACGAATAAGATAAATCACATGTGTAGATGAACAAGTAATTGCACCGCGTATCAGTATGTTACGACCAGTGTGTGGATGGCTGAAAGATTTACATTTATATGTAAAAGTACACTGGGCACAATTGCCGCATCTATAATTACCAGGAGGAAGAGTAAGAGTGACAGGTTTCACTACACTAGATGGGAACTCCGATCTTACAAGCATGTCACGCAGGTTACTTTGACGTTTAAAAACCAAATGGGGGCCATCCTTGAAAACATGAGACAATTTAGAATCACTAGAAATAATATGCCAATGCCTGTAAATAACCTTACGAAATTCTGCACCTAATGCTGAATACCTAACCGAACAAATAAGGCTATTGCCTAGTTGTGTTTTATTGCTCGTAGCACGTAGGCACTGTGTTTGAGATCTATCATCAAATTTACTCTTAGCTTCTTCTATCCATTCCCTACGATAACCACGATGTAGAAATCTTGAAGTCAAATCAGCGGACCATCGAGAGTAAGACTCTTCAGTGCTACACACTCTGCACACATGCTTAAACTGGCTAATAGGCAGGCTTTTAATAAGAGGTTTTGGATGGAAACTATCACCTCTTAAAATCGTATTACGATCTGTTGGTTTACGATAAAATTCAGTTTGAAGTTTACCCTCAGAAATGTGTACCTTTACATCAAGAAAACTGATATTCTCTGTATCACACTCCATAGTAAATTTCAAGTGTTCAGTTCTAGAGTTGAGATAATTCAAAAACAGCAACAATTCAGCGGGTGTAGAATTCGTTATCATAAAGATGTCATCAATGTACCGTTTATAAAACATTATCTTAGGTAAAAAAGAATTTGATTAATTTAAAATGAACTCATTTTCAAATACACCCATATACAAGCAGGCATAATTTGGTGCCATTTTACTGCCCATTGCTGTTCCCTTCACTTGTATGTAGTAATCATTTTGAAACCGAAAGTAATTATTAGTCAAAACAATGTTTATAAGATCCAGCAAACATGCTGTACTAGGTTTTTACTCCACTCTGTCTTTGTTTTAGAAACTGTTCCACCGCCTGTAAGCCATCCTCATGAGGGATGTTGGTATATAGACTCTGAACATCAAGTGTAGCGAGAAGAACAGCATCGACAGAAAAATCAACAGCATACAATGATTCAATAAAATCCATAGAATCTCGTACACAACTCTCTCGCAATGATATTACGCAGCGCCTGAAAATAGTCCCCAAAAACTCAACTGTTTAACTCTAGGGAAGTTGGAAAATTAGCCTATTTTCAAAAATAGTGGAGTGTTCCTTTAAGACATAACAGATTATGTTTGCGTGAATACTTAAATACTGTAATTAAATACTGTATATGTGTATATTTATCGGGATTGCTCGCAGTCGGAAGTGCCTTTATGTGGGCGGGTGCTTCGGATGACAGTCAGCCAAGAAGCGAGCAGAGAAAAGGTACTCCTCTCAGAAAACGTACAAATAAAGATTATTTTAGATGTTTAATTACTATTTGGAGCATTGGAATCGCTAGACGATGGC